AAGAAGATTGTCCTACATACCTGATAAGAGATCTACTTATACTCCTGTGGTGGTTAACTTTGCCTTTAAGGAATCTTCAGAATCGATGTCACCAGGCGACAGGTGTTACATCAACGATTCCAAGTCCCTTCAAGCTAAATATTGCTAAATTCATATTCACCTTCGACTTTGCCTTGATTTGCTAGGAAATTCTAAAGGGGCATTGAGAGTATTTGAGAGGACTTGTTCCGGTGATACTTCTAAGAATAAAAAAGAAAGAACTTTTATGTTATTTTATATTATCACCAAGCATTGGAATTTTCACCACTTTTACATGCAAAATGGGTCGCCTTGCCCCGATTGTCGCGTTAGGTGAGACATTTGGCGCAGACCTACTGAAATGTGTGACCACCTTCTGGCTTCGAACGTGTCTCCAACTGATTGGCCACACTAGAATCCACACTCGCCATACTTATTTATGTGTGGGGTGTAACAATTTGCCTGCACTTGGTAGATTGAGAAGGTTGGGTAACAAGTTAATGGATGAATAGCCTAGAGATCTTTTGCAGGCGATTTGGACATTGACCAGATTCCTTCATGAGTGTAATTTTAACCAATCAACACTTTGCTGATGTTAGTACTTTCTTTATTATCTCATCTTTCTTGGACTTACTTGTATCTCTAACTTTAAAAAGTTTTGTTAACAAGGCCGAGATCGATTGCACTGCAGCTTGAAAAGACACTTGGTTGTCTTTTTGCAAGTATACTGGCTTAACCCACTTGCTACCTAGAACATAAGGTATTGATTTTAGCAACCACGAGAAATTAATATCTTTCACATTGGTGACAATGCTAACAACGGCTAGAGTAGTTTTGCTTAAGTGCGACTACTCGCTATGAATTTGTGGACAATGAATTCCTGTCAAGAACAAATCATGCATGGAGCCCGACCTCTTAATTTGAAGTGTAGTGGTGGAGTTAGTTCAAACCATTCTATATTATAATGATTAATATTTTATATCAGTGTGTATAAAAGATAAAATATAAATCATTCTATTGTATATCAGTATGTATACTTAAATATATCCATAAATGGTTGTTGATACCATCATTATTATAACTTAACTTCACCTTAACAGCTTGACTGAATGAATGTTTTGTTTTCTCGATTTCTTGTACAACTTTTAATTTATTTGATTTTTTTTTGTACTATTTTCATTTTCACGCAACATTGCGGTAGTGCAATGACTTGCGCAGGCTGTAGATTTTTTTTTTTTTTTTCTCTAAACATTTTGAATTGTGCAGTTGGGTTTTTCTTACTCTATTGTTAACTATATTTAAAATTTAAAAAATAAAAATAAATTTCATTTTAAGCTGCAAATCGCATTGCAAATTGGTTCCGTCATATCACTGCACAACCAGTCCCAAATTTTGCATCAAGAAAAGAAATATTTGATTAACAACCTTCTCAGGCATCTTTAGCTTAATGATAGTCACATTTTGGGTCCAAAGATTCTGGGAATCTAACTAGTAAAAGTTTCTTCCAAATTCCATCAAATTATTCCTATTGGCATTCCTCTCCGCCTGTCCATTACTTCATTAGTGTCATGTCCACTTTTGCCTTTTAATTAAACCTTCGACTTGATGTGTTATTAAATTTACTCTATTTTTTTCCTTCACATACTTAATTATCAGAGAATAAGGAATATTTAACTAAAGAACAGTCACCATAAAATTACTATAATACTAATTGGTGTACACAATTGAATTGTGGTGTATTAACATTGGACTATCCCATTGGATGACGTATTACATGAACTATTATCCCCATGTCTATTAGACAGAGGCGGACCCAGGATTTGAGAATAACGGGGCACTATCAAAAACATTCTAGCAGGCGAGTTTCGAACCCGCGTCTTGTGACAAGAAGCAAGGTTTATTCTTAGAAGCGGACCATTGCTGCAAGCATAATTTTGTTAATGAGGGTGTCAAGAAAAATATTTAAGGGGTCCCCAACGTATATACAGCTATATATATATAGAGTTTTTGCCGAAGTTAACAGGTTCACGTGACCCCTCAAGTATGATTGTAGGTCCGCCTCTGTCTATTAGCAGTACTGGTCTCTAGCCACGAGCGTACCCCTTACCGGTGAATATAAAATTTTAAAAAATGGCATATATATTAATTCTAAAATAATTAAATATAAGTTCATGATAATGATAAGTTGCTCATCATAGCTAAGTCAGGAGAGAAATCTTGCCCTAATGTGAAATCCTTTGGATATTCCGATTCAAATTGTAAAACTAAGCTATATGATTTTTTATGTATTTGTGTAGAAGTTCAAATCAATAGACAAAATAGGTTGGTTTATATGTAATCCTAAAAGTAGTATCGATAAAGATCAATGGATAATTCAAATAGGTGAAAGTTTAAAAATAAAACTCATTGCCAAAGTGCTTTATAATGTTGCGCCGCAAAATTTAAGAGCGAGCAAGACTATCTTGGTGAATGCAATAAGAACCGGTTGCTCGCCTAAAAACCAAAAAGGAAATTTTACCGACTAACTAAAAATATTTTAACAGATGCATTTTTTTCCGAAAAATATTAGTATTAATACTAAATTAATAAGTGTACAAGCACCATATTCAAGAGCTTACAAAAACAAATCAAGTTATGGGACGATTACCTTTTGGAGTTTTAGTGTTTAAAGTATACATCCTAATTAAGCAACCCAAAAATTACTGAGAGATTTATATTACATAGAATTCTGCAGAGAATATTTTTTTGAAGTATTTTGGATTTGACGTACCTGCACAGAAGTAAAATTTGATCAAAAATTCACATTTGGAACATTTGATACATCTGAAATCACCAGACTAAATCAACAATATTGCCAAAAAAAAAAATCTAATAAAATTCAACAATATTTTACATGTTGTCCCAAAAACAGACCTTGCAAGACGAAGTATAAGGATTAGTCATAGTGTTAGCAAAGTGGGGATGGATGATCGAGTTCTAAATTATTTTTCTAAATTATAAGACATAGTTGGCAAAGTATTTTACCTCGAATTATAAGGTATTAATGCATATTAATAAACATTAATTCGAGAAGTGAAATAGAACCAAACTATTTTTAGTTAATATTGTGTAAACGGCAGGTTCAACTTTAATTTCATGTGCTCGAAGAATTCAGAAATTATTAATTACCCAATTAAACATTTTCAATTTGTTAATATTTTATTAGAATATGGATTTACATCTTTGTACAAAAATATATTTTTTTGATTGAAGGGCAAAATAGTCATTTAATTTTATACGAGCATTTTAGCCTTTTAAATTTAATGGAGGGTCTTCACACTTATAATATAAAATATGAAATGATATAATAATTTTCATCATTTCTTTTAATTAAACCTCAAGTTAATATTTTTGCCGGACTACACTCTAAGTTGGAATTTGGACATAAGAATTGTAAAATTTCGGAAAAAATTATAGTGAAAATGGTATTTGAAAATTAGAGTTGTGTTTGGACTAAAGGTGTCAAAGGGGTGGGCCGGGCTGGTCCGGGTTGAGTAAAAAAGTGATCAGTCAGTCACCAATCCGGGCCAGTTATCGATTTTTCGAAACCGAATTTAACGGGTCCGGGCCCATCCCATGAAATATTGAATCAGAACGGTTCCGGGCCTAAGGGGCCGAACCGGGTTTATTTTTTTTAATATTTTGTATAACTATCGTAATTTATATTAATATAAAGTAAAAATATAAAACAAAAAAATCTTATGAAAAGAGTGTTTGAACAAAGGACACAAAGGTTTTAGAATCCTTATATTTAAATATTTCATTAAGAATTTAAGATAATAGAATACAATAAAGATGGAAAAAAATTGCACTTATAATTTGCAAGTTCTTTTTTTATTTCAAACTTGCAAATTAAAGTTTACATTTAACAATAACTAAATTAACGAAAAAATAATAAATTTAAAGTTTAATTATTAAATACAAAATTATAAATCCAGAACTTTAAAGGTTTTGCATTGCCTTGGTAAGTTCTTCATAATCAATATGAACTTCTTGGTCATCTTCTGAAGTGTTAAATTCATAGGCTTTCATAGTTTCATTTCAAATTTTCATTACATAATAATACTTCAAATTAATCTAACAAACTAAAACATTAAGCATAAATACGTCTAATAATTATAAAATAACACAAATTGTCTCAAATCAACTTAAATACGAATTTCTGGAGGACGCTCAAGACAACTCTTCATATGCCTCCTTAAATAGCATGTGCCCTCCCACTTTCGACGAAGATTTAAGACTCGACCATAATTCTTGCAGTTTACTTTGTGAACTTCTTCATTTTCTTCTACCACCTCAAAGTGTTCCCAAACATATGAGCACACTCTAGAAGCACAAGGCATGATTTAACTTGAATTGAGAATTTAAGTTTGAGAAATAAGAGATGAGCGAAGAAATGAAGAAGGGGGGTGTATTTATAGCTTTCTAAAGGCTAAATTAGTAATTACTAAAAGTGTTATTTTTAAAAAAAATGCCCAAAAAGGGCTATTCTTGCAAAATATCCGTTGGGTCAAATTGGAAGCTAACCATTGCCAATGGTCAAATGAATTTAAAAAATAAAAAATAAATATTCAGAAAATAATCGTTGAACCGGTCCGGGTCGGGCCGATTAATCGGTTCAACAGTTATTTTCCTTGACCGATTTTGACTGGCTCGGTTAACCGGTAAGGAAAATATATACAGATCAACCCCCTAACCCCCCAACCCAGCCCTACCCGACCCTCTACCACCAGTCCGGGCTAGTCCGGGTTAATACCGGTCTAGGCCAGTCCAGAACTAGGTCAACCCGGTTCATTAAACACCCATAGTTTGGACATGGATATAACTGGTGGTGGAATGAAGTGGTCCAAGGTAAAGTGGACATGAAGTTAGTAGGGAGCGCATGCGAGGTTAAGAGGAGTGCGAACAGGGAGAGGTATAAAGTAGCTAGGAAGGAGGCGAAAATGGCGGTCACGGAGGCTGAAACTGCGGCTTTTAGTCGTTTGTACGAGGATCTAGGGGCCAAAGGCGGGGAAAAGAAACTATTCCAGCTGGCTAAGGCGAGGGAGAGGAAGGCACAGGATCTGGATCAAGTGAGGTGTATCAAAGACGAGGACGGTAAAGTATTGATGGGAGAGGTCCAAATTAAGCGAGATGGCAAACTTACTTTCATAAACTTCTGAATGAAGAAAGGGACCAGGATATTGTGTTAGGCGAGTTGGGGCGTTCCGAGAGCCACCGCGATTTTGGGTACTGTAGGCGCATCAAGGTTGGGGAGGTCGTGGGAGCTATGCGAAAGATGAGCAGGGGCAGAGCTACCAGGCCTAACGAGATTCCGGTAGAATTTTGGAGGTGTGTGGGTAGATCAAGTCTGGAGTGGCTGATAGGGCTGTTTAATGTTATTTTCAAGACGAAGAGGATGTCGGACAAGTGGAGGTGGAGTATAGTGGTTTCTTTGTACAAGAATAAAGGTGACATCCAGAGTTGCAACAATTATAGGAGTATCAAACTATTGAGTCACACCATTAAAGTGTGGGAGAGGGTAGTAGAAGCGAGGGTGGGGAAGACAGTGTCTATATCAGACAACTAGTTCGGGTTCATGCCGGGTCGTTCTACTACGGAAGTTATCCACCTTATTAGGAGGTTGGTGGAACAGTACATGGATAGGAAGAAGGATATGTACATGGTGTTTATTGATCTGGAGAAAGCATATGACAAGGTTCCTAGAGAGGTTCTTTGGAGATGACTAGAGGCTAAAGGTGTGCCGGTTGCTTACATTAGGGCGATTAAGGACATGTATGATGGAGCTAAAACTCAGGTTAGGACAATGGGAGGCGACTCCGAGCATTCTTCGGTTGTTAAGGGGTTACACCAAGGATCTGCGCTAAACTCATTCATGTTTGCTCTGGTGATGGATGCACTGACACACCATGTTTAAGGAGAGGTGCCATAGTGTATGTTATTCTTTGATGACACTGTTCTGATTGATGAGACACGGAGTGACATTAATGAGAGGCTGGAGGTTTGGAGACAGACCCTTGAATCAAAGGGTTTCAAGTTAAGTAGGACAAAGACGGAATACCTTGAGTGTAAGTTCAGTGCCGAGCCGAGGGAGGAGGGCATGGACGTGAGGCTTGGATCACAGGTCATTTCCAAGAGAGGTAGTTTCCAAGTACCTTGGGTTAGTTATCCATGGGGGTGGGGAGATCGACGAGGATGTCACATACCGTATAGGAGTAGGGTGGATAAAATGAAGGTTAGCATCTGGAGTCCTATGTGACAAGAAAATGCCTCTGCTACTCAAAGGTAAGTTTTATAGAGCGATGATTAGACCGGTCATGTTGTATGGGGCTGAGTGTTGGCCAGTTAAGAACTCACATACCTAGAAGATGAAAGTAGAAAAAATGAGGATGCTGAGGTGGATGTGCGGGCACAGTAGGATGGATAAGATTAGGAATAAAGATATTCGGGAGAAAGTGGGTGTGGCTCCTATTGATGACAAGATGCGGGAAGCGAGACTCAGATGCTTCGGGCATATTCAGAGGAGGAGCTTGGATGCCCCGATAAGGCGGTGAGAACGGTTGGCGTTGGTGGATACGAGGAGAGGTAGAGGGAGGCCTAAGAAGTATTGGGGAGAGGTAATTAGGCGGGATATGGTGAGACTTCATATCTCCGAGGGCATGACACTCGATAAGAAGCTTTGGAGGTCGAGCATTAAGGTTGTGGGTTAGGAGGTAGTTGAGCATATTTTGTCTTCCAGTGTGAGGTTAGGCTGATAGGATTTAGTCTTAGACTACTAGTGGTCAGGGCTGTGTTTACACTACTCTTCCATTTTTATAGTGTCGTGCATTATTTACTGGTCATTATTTATACCTTTCATCTATTCATTGGTTCTTATGTTGTGTTATTATTTCCATGATGGTACTGATATATTTTTTCTTTTTTTCTTTTCGTCTTCTTGAGCTGAGGGTCTATTGGAAACAACCTCTCTACCCCATCGGGGTAGAGGTAAGGACTGCGTACATACTACTTTCTCCAGACCCCACTTGTGGGACTATACCGAGTTGTTGTTGTTGTTGTTGTTGTGAATGGTTTGAAGTGAAAATTTTAAAAAATAACTTCTTGGAGTTTTTTAAATTTCTGAAATTCAACTTAAAGTGAAATTTTAAATTTTCATGGTCAAATACTAATTTTTAAAAAATTAAAAAAAAATCGAAAAAAGTGAATTTTCTTATGGACAACAGGCCCTAAATATTACGATAAATTTTGGTTTATTAACAATATCCTGACGTATTGTCAATTGGTTCAAATGCTCTTTATAAACTTGTTTTTAATTTTATGACCCTAACTCTTTTTTTTTTAATATACTAGTAGGATAAGCCCAGGCTTCGCCCGGGCCCAACACTAACAATGTTATACTTTTAGTTATATGTTATGTTACTTTGTCAACATAAAGGTGTTGATAGTAAATTTTTCTTTTTGGAAGTAAATTTGTTAGTACTAAGCTAAGCTTGCATATTATTTTGTATAGGTATGTGGCTATGGTTTTACTGTTGGATTATAGTTATGATGAAAAGAGTTAGTTTGTATAGCTAATAGTAAATAGTTGATGAAAACCTGCATAGTTAATCACAGAAAATGTGGAAGGATTGTAGTGCAGTAAACAACATCACCAAAATCTGCCTTGGTAAGAGTCAGTTTGCCAAGCTATTTATACAAAATGTGAAACATTGTACTGCAGTAGACAGTTCATGAAAATCTACTATTTACACAAAATGTGGAAGAATGTACTGTAGTAAACAACAACACCAAAATCTGCCTTCAATGTAAGTATTACAACAGCGGTGGGCTAGCAAAATACATTGGAGCGACCTTTGTTGCATTTCAAATCTGATGAGGCACATGTATGAACAACAAAGTGAGAGTTAAATGTAAAATAGTAGTTGAGAATATGTACATAAATTTTGTTTTGGATTGTTAAAAAATTCCAAAATTCTGCTGGACTGTGAGAACTATAGGCTTTACAGTATAAGCAAAATCCATAAGGTTACTTTTTGACATAAAATAAGCATTGTAATGGATAGAAATTGAGAGAAGTAAATGTAAGTGTTCATTAATTAGTAGTCTAAAAGCAGACAACAGAAATTCTATTGAGAATTGCAAATGTCATCCAGCTAAATAATTTAACAAAGAATTAAAATGCATGAATGGATGGATAAACAATGTTGTTACTCGACAAAACTTTTATTATATATGAAATTACTGTTTGTATTTGCAGTTGTTTAGCAGATGCAGCTTTTTTGGTTTGGTGCTTACATATAAAGTAACTTAGTTAAAAGGTCTTAAAAAAATAGGGTCTCTGAAGTATCAGTTCTAACCTTGACTATTTTTGCCGACGACTTGTTGAGTCTATGAGTGGTTTCTTGGTTGGGTTTCCATCTTGTGCCGATGGAGTGCGATTTGCTTCTGCAGAAGTGATGGATTGTACCTTTCTTTTATTTCCCTCACCAATAGTAGTTGATGTTGAAGACTGTGCCGAGTCGAACACAGTCTGTTTTTGCGTGTAAGATATGATAGCAAAGGTGCCAGGTGGTCTATCTGGTGTTCGAAGTAGTCTTTTTTGTAAATGAATTTTGAACAGCTTGTTTAGCAAGTGCTCTCTGATATGCTCAACAGGTAACAACTGTTTCTGTGGGAATAAGTTTGCTATAGATTGAGTTAAGTGAAGACTTTAAACTAATTTGGAGTCACGCAAAATAATTCTAGAGTTGGCAGTATATACACCTGGGCAATGGTAGTTTCATATACTTTCTCTGCTGTCATTGAAAGCATTGTTTCAGCTACTTTGTCTGACACCATTGTTGTTATTGTTCCACTCTCGTCTGTGATTTCAACTTCAAATTCACATCTACAATATTGTGTTTGTGCGATGATAAGGTTTTAGCTGTCAGATGTCATTATTGAAAGTGTGTCAATGGTAAGAGCTATTATTACCTTGGAATCAGCATTCTCTCTAGCTTGCAGTTGATACAAAGAACTTTCTTTTTGCGCTTGATTCGTGCTAGATGTTGACACTCAGAGCATAGAAGTACGAAGAAAAATTGGAACTCACTTGGTAATGATATTTCTCCTTCAACATAAAAACTTTGTGCCTGTTGAGAAAATAATAGAAAGATACTACTTAGTAATCACAACATAGAATAATTCGCAAGATAAAATGGCGATCCCAATATTGGTGTTATTCAGTTATTGGTGTATCATTCTGTTCTTATTTCTTGCGACCATATTATTTGTCTTACTGCTAAGAGTTACGTTACTGGTAATGTTATAGCAGAAATAGAATATACTGAGAAAATATTTTAAGCGTATCCGCTATGTGAAGTTATGTGAAGTTCATTTAGCTAAAAATTGTGTTATAAAACGTCGACAGAGGTTTAGTTTCTATATTCATGTTAATATATGTGTTATTGCATTTGTTTTATGACTTATTGGAGTTAAATCTCTATAGGTATACAAATATTCGGCTAATTTTCTTGAGCTTTATTTGTCTTGGGGTACTCCTTTGTTTGCTGGTGAAAAATATTTCTCTTTGTTTACGTAGTTTCTATGTTGATTTCTGGTAGAAAACAATAATTGTCAGAAGGCTATTTTTAATACGATGTAGAAGCAAAAGAACAATCGATGGTAAGCCCAAGTCATATGTTTTAATATACTTACAGTGGACTGTGAAGGAATGGTTGAAATGAGAACTATTTGGTCTTCAAAAGGTGCAACATTTAGTGTCGAAGGCGATTCTGATGTACTTTTGAGAGTGTATTCAATTAGCATATGTTTGTTCTCCTTTGTCCTGCGATGTAATAGGAGATATTATAGGTTTTTTTTTTGGAATCATATAGTATTAAAAAATGGAATGTATTGGCGAGCAAATAAAACACATTTCATACCAATTCATTAAATTTGTTGTCTGCGGGTACAAAGGATCGATTAAGATTGATGAATTGAACCTTGTTGTCAGGCGAGCCTCTGCATATCATATAGTGTACTTGTTAATGAATAAGTTAACAAATCTAAACATTGATGTACATGTGTGATGTAAAGTAACTTGTGAATACCTTGTTTAAAGTTAGAAACAGCTATTCGTTTTGCAACAATGACAGGATATCTATGTAGCTACTGTAGTAGTTCAGTTCCATCGTTGTCAGCCAATTCCCCCCATATAGTAAACAGAAAAGGTTTTTTCCTATGATATTAAAGATGAAGAATTAAATACATATTTTGTACAGTTACACAGAAATATTAACTATGAATCTCACCAAATAGCTTAAACTTGATCAGCTAAGTATTTGACAATGACAGTCATACTAATTAACATAACCAAAATCTACATAACATTATACTCAATTTCACTAATCCAAAAAACTGTAAAATCTAAATACAATAAATAAAGAACGACAATGCAAAATAAAAGAAACTAAGAAAATTATTTTATAAAAACACTGTAGGATTTTCATTACCTAAGATTGAAGAAAGAGAACTATTGAATGGTTCTTCAAATCATACCATCTGAATCTGAATGACGCTTTGAGTTTGCTTTTGTATTCGTTTGTTTATTTATTTTCTTTATTTATTTTCCTGAATCTGAATCTGCAGAATTATAAAAATAGTACCTATATGTGATTTGAGAGAAGGGGGTCCGTGGGGATCGAGGATATGGCAATGGCAACTTCCGCTACTCTTCTTCTACTTCACTTCTTCCCCTTTTTGGTTATTTGGGTCCCATTTTTAATTTTACTCCCATGGTCCCAAAATCTTTTAAAGATTTAAAGAAAGTAGAACATCAGGGAAAAAATGAAGACAACTTAGAATTCACATAAGAAATCCAAAACAAATTAATAAAAACAAAGAACAAATCAGAACCCAACCTCAGTTTGTTTTCAGCTTTCTGAAACGGATCTTAAGACCAAACTGAAGAAAAGATTGTTAATCAAGCCAAAACCACAAAGATCTGATCTTTTTGCAGAAGAAGAAAAAGTAGAACAGAAAGCATAAATAAAATGAAATGCTGGAGTGATTGGAATAAACATGCTCTTTATGGTATAGGTGAATCGAAAAGGGCTAACTTCTATGAATTTGTTGACTTAGCAAGTGAGGTCTGCTGGATTTTGGGGCCATGGATGCTCAACTTGGAAGTGGATGCTTGTAACAAGTTATGGGAATTGGGAGTCCACGCATTCGGCGACCGCAGAAAGAGTCAGCAATTATAAGTGTGAGCTGTAAATTAATGAAATTACAGGAATACCCCAGACAAATTAGAAAATTTAAGGGAACACACACGTTGACGGAGAGGTGTCTGTGTTCCCTCTTCTAATAAGTAGGAAAACATATACGACAGAGATTTAGTTATAAAGGGGCACTATGTACAAACGGCACCCTCTTGTCTTAAGTTTTTTTTTTTTTCTATTCCGGGCCCGGTGTCCCGTCACTTATTTAGCCCTCCACACTCCATTATCCAATCCCCCTAATCCCATTTCCATTTTTGCCTTATTGTCTACACACTATTCTTGTTCATTAGTAGTAGTACCATCTCCATTTTTTGACTTGTTACTCTCTTCCTACAAATGTCAAAAACTTATACCTCTGAAATTTAGTTTGAGAGCACTTGCTGAGAGAGAGAGTTAGCTGAATGCATCATCACGCCAACATATCCCTCAAACCACCTTCTTCTTCCAATTCTGCAACCCTTACCCACCACCATGCCTTTTTATCTCCAAACCTATTTCCCCAAAACCCTAATTATGTAGTTCACCCACTCAGGAAGAAGCTTCGTTGTTCCAATTTCAATTGCAAAGGCCTTGAAATTACCGTCCCTAAACTCCGCCCTAACTCTCTCAACAATGGCGATGACAAATTCAGAAGCGTCACTGCTGTCAAAGATGTTGATATTGCCACTCTTGGGAATCTCTGTATCGATATTGTTCTCAATGTCCCTCAATTACCTCCTAAGCCTTTAGACCAGCGCAAGGCTTATATGGAACAGTTATCCAAATCCCCTCCCGATAAGGTTCGTTTTTATTTTCATTAATCAACATACAAGTTTAAATTAAGAAAGGAGATTGCTTCTGCTTCTTCTTTTTTTTTCTCCAGATTTTTCTTACTTAATTAGACTTTAATTCGTATTTGTTGCTTCAGTGGAAGAAATATGTCTGCATGACCTAGACTTAAGGGCAAGTTCTATAAAGCAGTAGTTTGACCGGCCATATTGTATGGAGCCGAGTGTTGGCCAGTCAAGAAATCTCATGTCCAAATGTTGGAAGTAGCGGAAATGAAGATATTGAGATGGATGTGTGGGCATACCAGGAAATATAGGATTAGGAATGACCGAATGAGTATATTGGAGACAAAGTGGGTGTGGCTCCCGTAGAAGATAAGTTGCTGGAATCGAGACTGAGATGGTTCGGACATGTGAAGAGGAGAGACCACGATGCCTTGGTTGGGAGGTGTAAGAGGTTGACCATGACGGGTAAAAAGAGGGGTAGAGGGAGGCCTATCAAGTAACGCTACTTCAGCTTGCCGAGGACATGACCTTCGATAGGAAGGTGTGGAGGTAGATGATTAGGGTTGTGGGTTGACACGCAGTCTAGAGTTTCGTCTAGTCTTTCCAGTAGTATTAGTACTAGTCTTGTATTTTCCTTTTCATAGCCCCTAGCTATTACATGGTGTGTCATTATTTCCAGCTCTATATAGTATCGTATTCTTAGATCTTCGTTATTGCACGTTGCACCATTTGCTTCTATGTCTTATTACCTTGTTGTTGCTACTGTCTGCTTATTGCTTCATTTTTATTTCTCTTGAGCTAAGGATCTTTCGGAAACAGCCCCTCTACCGTCACAAGATATGGATATGTCTGTGTACACTTTACACTCCTCATAACTTCCTTGTGGGATTTCACTGGGTTTTTTGTTGTTGTTGTTGTTGAGTTTTAGTCATGTTAGTACTTCTACTTTACGCCTTATCCTTTTCTAGGAGTTGATTAGACTTCCAGAGATTTATATGTCAGTGCAAAATACAACAACTTTCTACAATACTTTTTATTTTTAATAATAGTCTGAGATGAGTTTGTACGAAGTAACATGATCAGTGAGGATTTCATATAGCTGAACCCACAAGTTGGGACTAAGGCGTAGTTGTTATTGTTTGTTTGTTGTTATGGGTTGGTAGCAACAAAAACTTTTTTGGGTTCACAAGGCTATTGGTGCCGAGGGTCTCCTGGAAACAGCCTCTCTGCCCCTCGGGGTAGGGGTAAGGTCTGCGTACATACTACCCTCCCCAGACCCCACTGGTGGGATTATACTGGGATGTTGTTGTTGTTGTTGTTGACAAGGATATTGTTGCCACTGTAGAAACCAAGTATTCTCTTTGTGCTATTTATATATATGAATTTGACTTTATTTATTATATTAGGACAATAGAAGAAAATATTAAAATTAATGGTTGAAAAGTTTGTTTGGTAGAGAAAATATCGCTTCAAGTTTTAAAATTTTAAATAATTTAATGAATTTGAATTCTTGCCCGCAAGCTAGGTGATGCATGAGTTAGGTGCACACAGTGTTATCAAAAGGCGAAAAGCGCAAAAATGCACTAAGGTTTGTTGGGGGTTTTAAGCACAAATAAAGCGTGAGCTTTGATGAAGAACGACGCAAATGGAGAAAAACTACAAATATGTATGGGTAGTCCAAGACTAATATCTATAAGCATGAATACCAAATATATGGAGAAAGAAATTGAAGAAAATTTATGATTAAATGAAATATCAATTGGTTAGCATCGTCTCTTCGGTATTATGCTCATTGGCAAGGAAAAGTATGCCTTAGAGTCTTGATGGCAACACTAAAACGCCCGCTCAGGGAGGCGACACACTGAATATGTTTTGAGCCTCGCTCCAAGGCTTGAACGCGCTTTAAGTGCGGCTTTGATAACACAATGTGCACATCAAGATTTTGAACCTTGTTGCAAACAAGGCATGGCATTTAAGTGGAGAAGGGTAGAGGGGGCTTTTATCCACTGGGTTTCAACCATGCGCCACCGGTTGCTTGGTTTTCTCGATTATTAAAAAAAAATTGAAGTCTTGAAAGTTTGTGAAAATTTTATACAAATGAAGCGATATCAATCATACTATCAGAAAGCCTGTAAAGCTCCCAGAAAAAACAATTAGGATGCAAGCAGTACTATGAAACTCGAGAAGTTTGTCTAGCACAAAAGCCCCTATTTATGCTTATTACCAAACAAGTCCTTCCATATGGATCTTTGGTTTGTTGAACAAATAATCAATCTATGTTGATGATTATATATAATTTTCATACTTTAAAACTATTAATATGGTGAATGGACGGCATTAGCTGCGAGTAGTTTATCAACAATGAGACACTGTTAAGTTGTGAAACTCTAGTTATTAGAGCATCAAAACTTTAATAAGGCATCTAATGAAAACGTGGATCAAATATGGTTGAGCTCCTTTGCAGCTTTAATGAACTACCTTGATGATTAACTCAAGGTACCAGCGTTTGGGTTCGGACCAACTAATTTTAACAAAGTAAAATTTGCACTTTATGTGCTTGGATATCCACGTCATTGAAAGCTTGCATGATCTCCTCAGTTGTATCTCTTAACATTTGCAAAATTATGGGATGTATAACTTATTTGCAATTCACTAGTTCTTGATATCTAGTCCTATATATGGTGTTTAGACCTCTCCTCAATTAAGTGCGATGTAGAAATACTAAAGCATTGTCCACATATTGCATAGCGCTACTGAAGAATAGGTGGTATGTGCCCCCAGGCATCAATCCGCTTATATTATTTCCAATTCTTGTATCTGCATAACCATGTAAAATGATATCCTGATAATTTAATTCTGCTTCAGCGGTATTGGGAGGCAGGTGGAAACTGTAATGTGGCTATAGCAGCTGCAAGGCTTGGCCTTCACTGTATCACAATTGGCCATGTTGGCGATGAAATATATGGACGCTTCCTCATTGATGTGCTTAGTGATGAGGGGATTAGTATTGTTGGGATGAATGAGCAGAGTGAAGTACTTAATCTTCCAAGTTCTGACTATGAAACACTACTATGCTGGGTGTTAGTGGACCCTTTGCAGAGACATGGTTTTTGCAGGTCCTTTTCATCTTGCTTTTCCCAGTTTTCTTTTCCTTTACTTCTTTTTGTTCCCCCTCCCATCTGGGGTGTCTTTGCTTGCTCAGTGTCTGGGCCACTTGATGTTCCTCAGAGTAGTCTAACCTTTAAGATGTTTAATGTTTTCCAGTCGTGCAGATTTTAATGTGGATCCTGCATTCAATTGGATGAACAAACNGATTTTAATGTGGATCCTGCATTCAATTGGATGGACAAATTATCTACTGAGGTAAAGATGGCCATTAGACAATCGAAGATCCTGTTTTGCAATGGTTATGACTTTGATGAGCTCTCCCCGAGCCTTCTTGAATCTGCTGTTGAGTGTGCTGTTGAATCTGGGACATCTATCTTTTTTGACCCTGGACCACGAGGTAAGAGCCTTCTTGCAGGAAGACCTGAAGAAAAAAGAGCACTTGGCAAGTTGTTGAGGATGAGTGAAGTGCTTCTCCTGACTTCAGAGGAGGTTTGTATGTCATACTCTAAAAATTGTTTGGTCACATTGTAACTTATTATTGCTTGTGCCTTCTTTTTTTCTTTTTCTTTTTTTTATCGATCAGTTTATTGCTCGTGCCTTCTGCTGTCCTGCATCTTGGTTGGTGCCCTAATAGGATATAACCCAATTATTTGAAGATGCTAAATATAAGCAGTTCTTCCTACGAGTTTAATGAGTTAAATTATTCATTTTGAAAGAGCTCTTCTGATAGCTAAAAGCTATCTTACTGAACATGTGATATTTGGCTAGGTTCTGGTATATACTGGAATCTGGAGTACTGCTTGAAATTTGGGTTGATTTACAAAATTTTATGCAGCTCAGAAGCAGCTAATATTTATGGTATAAACAAGTTCAAGAAAGTTATACTTAGGCTGTGTAGTTCTTTGCATTTGTAGGCTAATGTAGCCCCCTTTTCCCTTTGCATGATATCTTCCTTTTTTCACAATTTATCTGATTCTATTACAAGGTTAGGGAGCGGGAAAATTGGTTTAACTGGGTGATATTCCCATTTGCCATTTTCCTCGGTCAAATCTTCACACTTGCGTGGACCATTACATAGAGAATCATATCTCTAGTAGATTCCCTACTTTTTTGGCATGCCTCTTCTGTACAGGAGCTTTCCCATTATCAATGAAATTGTACTTGTTTTAAAAAAATGCATAAAAGCTTTATAGGAGCTCAATGAGATAAGGAAACTATAGACTAAGTTAAGTTTCCTAAACAAGGAAAATGTAGGCTAAGAAGCTTTTCCCATCTACCAATATTCCTTGGTTGTGAAATAACTATTTAGAATGTTCTATACTACTAACTTAGATATACTCTAAACTATAACTGTATTAATTCTCTTGATTTTCAACCCAAACAATGATCAGTTACTTGGTAAGCACCTTTAATTGTATCAGAAATTAGAAATTGCCTGTACAAAGGGGAAAATTAAAGCAAACTACCCACGGTTACTTGAAAAGCACTTTTATGTAGCACCTATTTCCTTGCACCTATTTCCTTGCACTACCACCACCTCTTTCTACTTTTCGTTTTCATATACATTTTAAATTTAATAAGTTGTAGAGGAAACAAAGCGGAAGTGTGAGAACAGAAAGGAAGGCAAAAAGGGCTCCATTTGGCAGGGTCTAGGATTTGGTTAAGCCATGGATATAGCCTTATCCCTAGTATCAAAGAGTTGGTTTGCTGTAGTTGTAAAGTTGACCTCTAGAACAACGGTAACATGATGTTCGAGCTGATTTGCTGGCTTTTTCCTTGTTGCTATATTATATGGTTCTCGTTGCTGAATTTATACTTTGTATATTCTGGTCATGTTGCTGAAATTATGACTTCCTTTCCTGAAAATCAGTGGACGGTTTTACTGCAATCACCTCTTTCCCTTTCTTCACTCTTTTATATCTGTTACTTATCTGAATCACTGTCTTCTCCAGGCAGTATCTTTAACTGGTATTGATGACCCAATCTTGGCGGGCCAGGAGTTGCTCAAGAATGGAGCTTGTACTAAGTGGGTGATTGTTAAGATGGGCCCGAAGGGTTCAATTTTAATCACCAAATCAAGCATAACTTGTGCACCTGGTTTCAAGGTATCAATTTTCGTGACCCATTGGAAATGTTGTTTCTTGTGAAAAATTACTCGATTCATCTTCTTAACAAAAGTTTACTTGTTCCCTCTGGCATTAATTAGCATATCCTGTGGATATTTCTGTTTTACTTTGGGGTCTTTCTTCAGAGACCCCCACTTAGAGGGTGCAGCACTTGACTAATGACCAAACAACATAACTTTCTTCCTCCTTCTCCCACTCGGAATAAGTGGGAATCGTACAGTTTCTATTTAGTGCATCTTTCCCAAATTTGATATATACATGTTGACAAATGTTTATTCTATCTGATACATGCAATTCATCTACCCATTGTCTGTAATAGGTCAATATTATAGATACTGTGGGCTGTGGAGATAGTTTTGTGGCTGCAATTGCATTTGGCTTCATACATGACTTGCCTTTGAGTTATACGTTAACCCTTGCGAATGCGGTGGGCGCTGCAACTGCTATGGGGTGTGGTGCTGGTAGAAATGTTGCCAGTTTGAGGAAGGTCCTGGAACTATTGAAGGAATCAAATTTGAACGAGGATGATAAGTTTTGGGATGAAGTACTGAATGATAAAGTGAACACTCAGGATTTAACTGTGCTGTCAAAATTGGTTATAAATGGTAACCATCAGGTGAACCGTGTCTCCGTTCAAAAGGTGGTATCAGAACTGCTACCTAAGCTTGAATCTGCACCAGCAAAGAAGGTTGCGGTTCCTTCAAAGAGATGAAATGGTCTTCTGGGACAAATAGATTTTTGTAGCTGTTACGTTGATTGTGGCATATGTACCTTCATGGAAAGAAATGCTTGAATTGGAGATGGGTCTAGCCTGCTCATTATGATATGCACAGTATTATTATGGTTGCTGCCTTGCCGGTGGTGGAATTGGCAGTTTTGATCTAAATAAGAAGTGCCCAGATACTGTCCGTTGATCTGCCTGCATGCATGAGAGGAAATTAGCACATCAATTGAGCATTAGTATTTGCAGGAAATTTGATCGTCCTGCTTGATCTGATTGCTCCAACGTGCACGCTTGAGGAGCTGTGCCTTGCTTCCTGTATTTTTATTCTTACAACATCTGTGACCACCTGGAATATCAGGGGTGATGTTAGTTGACATGTTATTCTGACATGTTACAGAAGGAACCACAAGCCATGTCTTACAATGGATTCTGTTCATCATATTTTTCAAATTTAGAATGTTGTGTAGGAGAAGCCAATTTTTGTTCATCATATTTTTGTTTGCACATCAATTGGCCATTGTCACCATTTATGATTAATATTGTTGGGCACTGAATTCCGTCTTGTCTCCCTTCCGTATAATTTTCCCCTTCTTTCGTACCTCCCTTTCTTCTGTCACGTCTCTTCCCTTTGAAAAATCTGTGAAGTAACACCTGTGTAAACCCAAAGGACATACTGGAAGAGATTCACTGTATCCGTGGATGCAAGCAGGCATGGGGAGGAAAGAACCGAATTCTGGCTGCTATTAGTAGGAAAACCCCCAGGGGGTGGAGCATCAGTGCGTCATCCAAGTGAATAATCTTTTGCAACACCTGTCTTTCATTTCAAGCATCTATATATTGAGGCCACAAGCGTAGTCGCATATGAGTGTATTAATACCGAATCAGATTTTAGTACATAACAGTTGAGGAGGCATAAAAAATTCGACAATTATGTCAGTCACAAAAAGAATTTGCATTAGTCTAATTAAACTCTTCTGGTTTGCATCAACTTGCACTCGTTTAACCATTTGTAAGTAGAGGTTCATCTCCAATACAGCCTTTCTCGTTTAGGCTCCCCTCGTTAGTGGTCCAGTGAACCCCCTATACTTTGTGCCATCATTACGTCGAAGCAACTAGTAGTATCATAGAATTGAAAATTCTGACAGAAGCGTGAGCTGAACCTTACTCCCTTCGGTTCACAATAAGTGACCAGTTTACTTCATTTTGGTTCAAAATAAGTGTCCAGTTAGGTAATCAAGAAAAAATTCAATTTGTTTTTATTCTTTTACCCTTATGTGCATATCCCTAAAAAGTTTTCTCACTTCTCACTATAACTATGTGACCAATATTTAATAAGGGTAGTTTAGTCATATTAGGTATTTTTGTATAGGATTTAGCATTTTCTTAATGGGCGTGCTAAAAGGAAACTGGTCACTTATTGTGAACTGGAGGGGGGTAACATCCAACCTTCATGTCATTCAATAAAACAGCAATCATGAACCATACAGATGCATTACCCCTTAAAATAATTCTGCAAACCCTTATGCGAAAGCACATGCACAGGGATGGCAAGCGGTGCGGTGCGGGTTCTATCTTAACCCACAAAATTTCAACCCGCCCCGCATAACATTTTTATCCGCGTCCACCCGCCCCGCCTCGCATAATTTTTTCTTCATTTTGTCAGTTTTATTTCTTTTTGATTGGAATTTTCCATGTCAACTAAGGATTTTTTTTCTGGTGAGAGTCAATTAAGGTCACACGCTACTTATCATGTCTCAATTCTTCTGAATTTTTAGTCTTTTCATTTGAGATGTTTAAAAATTTTATGACAACACTCTATCTTTAACTTCTCAACTAGTAATTCATAATTCAAGTTGTATTGATAAAATACATAAATCAAAATCACCGAACCAAAATGACAAAAATTTAAGTCACTCAGAATTAATCAACATCAATAATGAGAATTGAGAGGTAACTAGTACTAAAATGGTAGTCTACTGAAATTTGCAAGAGAAGAAGCAGCAGGAGGAGTCAAGAATTAAGCTGATATTAATACTTACCACAAAATATAGCTGATATTAATTATAAGCGTGCAAATATGATATTTGGGATTATATAGTACAACACTAGACTGTTGTATTGTTGTAAGCAACAAAGTTCTTCTGTCCAGCCAGTCATTATTGCGTGATCAGTATATGTTTCTAGCTTGCCAAACCTGCACCAAGACCGCGTCAACCCGCAAGAACTTCTTTAGAAAAAAAATCAACCCACCCTGCCCCGCACCCGCACCCCCCTGCATAGGTTCATATCCGCCCTGCACCCGCCACATTGCCATCAGCACAGAGCTATCACAACACAAAACTCACATGAAGTAAACTTAGAATAGCTACAAAAGACTAGAGAATGCCATCTACCTAATTAATAACACACCGATGAGCACCATGCCCATAAAAAGGAAACAACTTTTTACCTCGAGCATCTGCTGGGCAAGTATTTAATATGTGAATTTGTTTTAGTTATACTGATCCCATAGCGTCTGTCAAACCGAGTAAAATGTAACCCTGTACTGAGTGCAATATACCAGTAATTAAACATTTCAAAATCGAATGTAAAAGACTAATGCTAAACCACTAATTCCATCTCAATACCTAACGCATCCAATCCTCCACTACTACTAATCATGATACACCTCCTAACTAACAACAAAACTTTCCAACCGCAGATGACTTTGGATCTCATGATTGTGTCAGCATGACTGGTCTGAGTCAGATATCCATCAATAACCATAGCTGGATCCATAAATGGAACCATAATCCCCGGCAGGTGTATGGCCAGTGCCACTAGATGAAGTGTATACAGGACCTTGAGAATATGGATTATAGCCTTGGGAAGGTGGTCCAGCGGCAGTGTTCTGCATTGAGCTGGCAGCATCAGCAATAGAATTCTGCACCATAAGCAAGGTGGTAAAAACTCAATCCCCAAAACAAAAAAAAAGGGGCACCACCAGTGATATTCCAAACAAGATCATACTGTCCCTATCCACAGACAGAATATTACCCACAGCAAAGGTGAATTGAAGTTCAATATCAAATTATCAGCAGATACTACCTGAACTAATTGCTGCGCTGTTTGCACCTGTGATGCAGATCCCGTTATCTCAACAGTCATCTCATCCGGAACACCCCTTGTTTCCTGGATTGCAATAGATGCACCACTGGTCCGACGAATATAGCTAATATTTGAACCAGAGGTCCCAATGACAGCATCGGCATAGGACAAGGGAATTTGCATGTTTTGGGTGACCTTTAAAGAAAAAGGATTAAGGGAAAAGAGCATCAGAAATCAGAATGTTGCAGTTCTATATAAAAAGAATTAAAGGCCAAAAAAGAAAGCAAAACTTGCAACAACTTGATGGTTCTATTTGGTAGTATCCTTAAAACGATACCAGATTCTTATAAGTGCAACATATATAGCATGACGTATATGCCCACCTCTTTCTGTACCTTGTTGGGTGATTTTATTTAATCAAGATCAGAATCCCCCTACCCGAATTATCTTAAGTTAGCAGAAAGTGTATAAATTAGGTAGTTGCACTCAACAGATTGAATGCATACAAATAACACACCTTTGTAACCATGGATTGTTGTGTTTGCACATTTGTACCATGAGTTCCCATTGAAACATCTCTACCATAAAGAGGGGGGGCCTGACGGGGCTGCTTTTCGAAAGGAGGCATGTCTACCGGTGGGTAATAACTATCAAATTGCCGTGGAGGCAGCATATACTGAGGGTTGAGCCCAAAACCAGGTCCACCCCCAGCATTCGCGGGAAAACCGGATGGTGGAGGGGCCCATGACTGAGAAGGTCCAGATGGAGGCATGTTCTGGTTTGGACGAGCATTTGGCATTTGCATCTGAGCAGAAAAAAAGAATCATAATTTCAAAGAGTATTATTGGAAAGGTCAAAATCCACTGAAAACAGCAGTAGACTTACTTGCATCTCAAATACCCCAATGACACTACGATCAACTAAAAATTTCCTGAGATGTGAAGCAATCATTTCAACTGCTTTATGCACCCCGGCAGGCTCTCCTTGTATCTCAACAACACTATCATCAGGAAGGGCAAAAATTGGAAGGTGCTCTGCAGAATCCAGTTGATGGGAATTAAACATTAAATTACATACCCAGAAGGAAAAAGGGATTTTAGATGAGAAGTTAGAATAACAGACACAACTGTGTACCATTTGACTTCAGAACAAACAACATAACATGTCAGCTTTTGAGCTTTACCAAGTTCACAGCGTAGTCCCCTTCTTTTAATAAGAAACAGTCCTTTGTTTATAATTCATATAATTCAAGAAGTAAACAATAGACAAAGGAAAACTAACCAGAAGGACCCAGAAACTTATGTGTTATTCTTCCAATTGTTCTTCCATTGCTTTTTCTATCTATTCTTCTCTCTTTTGACTCCCCCAATCCAGGTTTCCAAAATTTCAACATCTGGAATTATCCTTATCTTGGTTTTTGTTTATTTCAATAACTCAGAAATGATATGCACAAAATTCTCTAGTGCTCACTAGTTAAATAAAATTACTAAAATAGAGTTTCTAAAAGCAAAATAATTGCCAATAACAATAAAAGATCAACTTGTACCAGTGTTATTTAGCTTCACATCCTCTTAGGACCCCATGTGCCCACCCCTAAAGCCAGCTTGAGATCGCAGAGGTTCAAATAAAGACAGGAAAAGGTGGGGAATCTAGGTTTCGCTGTAAACCTAATTGGTTATTTCCAATTACATAAATCAATAGTCCAAAAGACACTCAAAAGACAAGGCAGTTCTCATTTTTAAGGAACTTCTAGTCTCTAGCAAGTCCATTAAATATTAAAAGATCTCCGTGGTCCTTTTAAGGAGGTTCAAAGGGTAGAGGTTGAGAAGATTTCCAAGAAGCCTTCGAGGGGTCCATAAACAAATTGGATCCTAGAAGCAAAGTTTATAGTTAAAATATGTTCATATAAATCAAACATGAATAAGACTTTTTAGCAAGTCCACCAGGGCTATCAAAGACCCTACAGCGTATTCACAAAAATCCTACACCATATTAAGAACACATGTCTGTTTTCACTTTTTGCTATAGCAAACCCCACACACCCCAAACCACTCAACGGAGCCAAGTGTGGCTTTTCATACTTCGCTCCCTTAGTGACTAGAACTACCAACCTCCTAATTGGAGGCGGAGGGCCCTTTCCATTAAGCCATCCCTTCCGTCTGTCATTTTAAGATTAACATATATTTATTCCTTGTAGAAAAACATTAGAGAAGGATATGTACAGACCCAAATTTCTCTTGAAATACCTACAGATAATACAGCATTAAAAGGCATTAGGGACTGCAAATGACTAGCGGTAGTGGATCAGTAGCGAGATTGACAAATTCTCAAGGAAACAACACAAGACACAGATATCTAAGTTAAAGTGAGGCACCTTCTCCAATTACTCGGATGGTGCAATGAGATGTATCTTGAATAAACTTAATAGTGGAACCCTGCTTCCCAATCAAGCTTCCAGCCTGTGAGGCTGCCACAAGTAGTCTTGTAGTGACTGGCCTACCAGCGCCTGGTGGAGCACTAGTTGAATCAGTGTCTACATCAACAATCCGCTTGTGAACCTTCAAAAGACCATCCATAGCAGGCGGAATTGATAGGCTTGGCTCTTCTTTGGCAGATATCATCACCTATAGCAGAAAAGAATTATCAATCCACAGATAGCACAATATAAAGAAAGATATGCACTTATTCAACTTTTGCCAAAGCACAATTACTGTTCACGGTATGTTTAGGTTCCAACCAGAATCAAAGTTGATTACACATAATGCAGCATCAATATACTGGTATAACAAGCAGATTAAAAAAGCAAAAAACAATAGCTTCCAAGATAAACCGCTGGAATCAAGCAAGAATATAGAGTCCAATATGCCGGTTTTATTACGATTACTGCTAGCTCATTCTCCAACAACCAACCAAAAGAACCTACCAGCAAAAATGGGGAGTAAAAAAAAAGATTCCTTGTAGTGAAAACTTTAAAAAAGAGATTCCTTGTGGAGATTTAAACTATAATTTATAAGTAGTAGCTCTAAATCAACAGGCATTTTGCGCCAAGTGTACTCACATCTATAAAGTAGCTCTAAATCAATTTACAATAAAAGGACTTGCAGAGTAAACTACAATTTATAAGTATCTCTAAGTCAACAGGTCTTTTCAAAGGACACAGGCATTTTGTGCCAAGTGTATTCACGTTTATAAGCTAATGAGTCTGCAGCGTGCAGCCTTATAGATATGCCCACATATTAACATGCCTTTTTACGCCTTTTTAATTCCATATGAATTGTTAAATACAGATCCAATTTTTTTTGGCCATTATTTATAGTAAGTTGCGACAAGCTCTCAGGCACACTCCCCGAGGAGCCTGAGTACAAGAATTTTTAGCTTTCCATGAACACCATTAGCCAGCCCTCGAAATTCCGATCACTCCACTGAAATTTTTCCGACGAAGTATGACATAACATTTCTGTACCACGAAATTCAACGTTCATGGAAGATACATGAGCATTCTGTCACTGAAGGGAGAAGGGAGGTCTGTTATTATAATTCCAGAGTTAGCTTTGAATGCAGGTTGGAAAGACATAGCAGCTAAGATAGAAAGACTCATACATCAGACCCCCAAAATGAATCCCACAGCCCCACCTAGAATCACTGTGGACAACTACCCTTATGTCAAAGCAATCAAGGAGAGTAAATGGCAATCCAATACCCTTCGAGAGGCAAAGGTCAGCATAAACAATGGAGATATCTCTGTTGTGGAACCGACAGGTAGCGAGGATTCTGGTTTACTAAAAAGATGCATTGTCGGGTTTTTTGGGAAAGAAATCAATGAGAGACCCACTTTAGCAGACATAAGGCGATGGGCTAGTGCGTCATGGAACAAAGCATATGGAGTAAACATGCATGAAATGACAGGTANAACATGTTTCTTTTTGAATTTCCAAACAGATTCATGGCGGAGCAGATTATGCAAGGAGAATGGAGTGGGAAAAAGTTCAAGCTTCATCTGGAATGGTGGAGTCATACTGCTGGATGCATTCCAAACTCACAAATCGAGGAAACATGCTGGATTAGAGACATGGGGATTCCTTTACATCTATGATCACAAAAGATCTTCAAAGAAATAGGAGATCTCTGTGGGGGATGGATAGCTACTGAAGAAGAA